GGCCCCGGCGGGCGGCGCGCGGGACGGGTGGCCCCGCCCCGCGCTGTGGGGTCCTGAGGTGGACGCGGGGCAGCCGCCTCCGGGGAGCCGTTTCTGTACCAATAATAAAGAATTAGCGCTACCGTTACAATTGTTTACGTTGGTTAACGTACCAAAAAGGAGGAGACATTAATAAAATACGCTTCCTGTTTCAACACTTTTGGTGTGAGCGTCTCACCTCTTGCACAATCACCGCTAGCTTTCCAAAACACGGAGCTTGACACGGAGCCCATGCGCTTGGGGGACCTTGGCAATGTTGTGTATTGGAGAAGGACGAGGAACTGCTGGGAAATCCAGGCGTCCTTCTGAACCTGTGCCCGATTACTGCCCTTCCCAGTTGTCTTTTGCTTGCCCAGCAGGAAGACCCGTGCACCCAGGCCACATTTCGGGGTGTCGGTAGCTGCTGCAGCCCGTGGAGACGACCGTGGGGCTCCGGCCTTCCCCGGGCTCCCTCCTCCAGGGCGCTGCAGCCGTCCCCACCACCCTCCATCACTCCGCAATGCTCTGAACCAAACTGGGAGAACGCTGCCTAAATGAGATCACAGGGGCACATTAGATTTTCTGGATCGTCACCTTATTCCTTTTTTTTTCCAATCAGCAAGACTCTTGCTCTTATCCCTTAAAATGCCATTAGTGGATTTTGAATGCCATGTTGTCAAGATTTGCAAGCTTTTTCCTAAACCAAGCACTAAAAAAGCTCTGAGTCCAAACATCTGTGCAAAGCATTACTTAAGTGTTATTTCATGGGGAAAATAGGCAGTGCTATGTGATCACTCCTGCAGCCCGGAGGTTTACGTGGACTCGCTCACAGCTGAGGATTCTACTTCCAGTGAAAAATATGATTTAGAAAAAGGGGAAATCAAACATTCCTTTATCCTTCCTAACAAGGAAGGATAAAGAGTTGGGGAAATACTTCTATAGAAATCAAACATTACTAACAAGGAAGGATAAAGAGTGGGTGAAATACCTCTATAAAAAACATTTTTTTGAGGTTTGTTACTCTCTGAAGACTTTCAATTTCCCTTGGAGGTCAACAGTTCAAGTATGGTTGTGATGTGTGATCTCATAGCTCGTCATAAGATCACAGTTTATCAGGGTGTAACTCACTGCACAGTACATGAAACCACGTAACACATGCTGCTGCTTCTGCTGCTGAGACGTTTAGAAAAACTCATTTCAGAATGCCCAAAAAGACTATTTTTTCCTGGTGTCTTCCCAGCAGAACTGCTAGCATACTAGTAACTACTAAAAATAGTATGCTACTATTTTTAAATAAAAACAACTATATAATCATTTTCTGTGTTTGCTATTTATATTACAGAATATGTCTGCAGATCTAAAGGTGTTGTTTAAATTCATTATATGGCCAGTTATATTGTAAGGGGTATCCAGCCCCAGGAGATATTTGATAATATGCCTTGGGTTAGTAAACACTGCATGATTTGAGACCCTCTTTGTATATTTCCATATGCCTGGGGTTATTGAAATATGCAATTTCCAAGTAGACCACTTTGAGTATCAAGCCAGTTTACATGCCAGGTGGTTGAATTCACTGGCATTAAAGACCGAAATGAAGGATGGGGTTTAACTGAACTTTTCAAGACATGGTTCCCAAAAGGCACAGCCTGAGAACAGACTGTCCAGGGCAGTGCTGACTCAGTGGCCCTGGAAGGAGTTCGGGAGGCGGCTGGCTGTGCATCTCCTGACTCAGCTGCCTCCTCCAACTCCTACCACGGAATCGGAATCGCCGTAGTTCTCCGAGCCGCAGCCCTTCAGATCGTCTCCGCAGGGCATCTTGCTCACCAGGCTACATCTAATTTAATTTGCTCTGTTCTGAGGAGCACGAAATTCAGGATAAACCTAAGAGCCTCATTACTGACGAAAAAGGAAAAAAAAATGACAAAAAAGGGACAATTTCATTTTTTTCCTGACTGGTTTAGTTTAGCACATCCAAAAGAAGAAAAGGTCTAATAGGGCTCCCTAACAATTTCTGTCTGTGAGGAAGGGAGAGAGGGAGAAATAATACACAAAAAGGAGTGAACAGAATCACCTATCACGGTCGAGTACTGACACTGAGAGCCCAAAAGTTGAAAGAAAAACTGACTGTGCTTGGACTGGAAAGTCAGTTCCTTCCAATGCTGAAATCTGTAGTCTCAGTGTGGGTACGAACATGCCGTGGAGAACACGATGGCTCTGCCTTAGGGCCACGTCAAAGGGAAGATTTGGCTGATGCAAGTTAACCCCTCCTCATGCTCAGGTGGAAACGTCTTGCTGGGAATGTGAAGGAGAATGTCACTCATTTTTGCTCCTGAGTAGTGATAAGGCAAATAAGCCCTCTCTCTTGAAAAGCTACTTGTTTGCCAGAACAAGATAAAATTTGTGGTTATTAGTGTAGACAAAGGAGCAGAGCCCTACTGAATAAACATTAAGGGGTGTTTATTCAGAAAAAGGGGGAGGGGGCATTAATTATTATTTACAGCTAAGGAATGTTCTGCTTATTTCCATTCTTATGGAAAGGGCCCGTTAGAAGTTTCTGGAGAGCTTCATCCTTTGTTGCTACAGATAATGTGTAGACAAGTCCTTGCAGACCTCTGCTAGCATCTAGGATGGCCTCACGTCTCCTTCCTGTGTTATTGTGGGATTTGAGGAAAAGAAACCAGCCTCCTGACTCAGCCTGGTGAGGTGGATGTGCACGTTGCCCCCGCTGACCGCAGGGTTGTTTCAAACGGACGGGATCGTTCAGCCCCGCTGAGAAATGCACATGTGCGAGATGCAGCGTCAGGGCCCTGCGGACGGATCCTGATGCTCCAGCACCAGCTCCTGAAGAAGTTGTCCATGGAGGAGCCTCCTCTCTTCCCTCAGCAACAGAAAGTCCCATGCAAAGAGGCAGATGATTCTAATTGCTAACCCCTTTTTACAAAAATGTACTTTTTCCTCTTGGTAAGACTTAACCCCTGCTGTTGATTTTGGCACGATCATGCTGTAAACAGGTATTTCGCTATTCAGCTAAGCTAACCTGTCTCCTTGCCGTAACTGATGCTCTCACTACCCAGGAGATCTGGAATCCGGAGCGAATCTTTATTTCCCCTCTCAAAATGCTGGTGAGAGCCCTCTGTGCATTCTTGGAATGTATTTTACTGTGCGCTGCAGCTTTTGGGCAGGATGAGAGGCAGGTTAGAGCCCAGTTAAGGTTAGCAGGCAGCAATGACACCAGTTGACATCCAAGTCTAGGGGGAAAAGAGGGCGGAATGCCTTGCTCATGGTACCTGTCCTGTTACACGAAGCAGGAGCTATAAAAGAGTCCTCATCTTCTTCCTCGCATATGCAGCCCATTCAGCAACATCCTAATATCCACAAACCATCTTGGAGGATGACACAGGATGTAATATCCAGAGGAAAGCAAAACGAAAGAAAACAAAACATAGTATCATAACATAGCACCACAAGCTAGAAAAATAAAATCTATTATGATGTGTTCTGTGAATCACTCTAAGATGCAGGTGGGCCTTGCGAATGATAAAAGAAAATGTGTGTATAGAAACCCATAAAAATTAACAAAAGGCTTGTGCCAGTTTTTAGCTTGTAGGCTGGTCCTCTGGGCTCGAGGATTTGCTCAGAGCATCTGTGTTTAATGCCTCTAGTCAGAGGCTTTTATGAGAAACCCAAAATATACTTTGATTACAATAACTAGAGGTGCTGCCGCCTGTTCAGCGCGCTCCAAGTGCAAAGATACCATTTCTTGACTATCAATTGGCAGTAAGTGGTGCTGACAGCCATGACTTCATGCAAGGAGGGAAAGGTTAATATGAGAAGCAGTGAACGTCAGGACAGTTTATTTCCAGGCCAGCAGCATTAAATTGATATCCTGGAGTTCAAATTTCTGCGGCAGAGCTTAACATATCACACCAATTGGTTTCTCTTGACTGAAGCAATCAGCTATAATTATCAAAATGTAAAAACTTTTAATCATATTGGAACTGCCTATCCCCTGGTGCTGTATATTTGATAGCAATATTTCCACCTTTTTTTTTTTTTTTTTTTCTCCAGCAAGATAGTTAGCTGCTGGACAGTTGGTTGGATGCTCCATAGCCTAAGACTGAATTTTATGAAAATTTGCAGCTGAGAGCCCTTTCTGAAATGCGCCAGTGCAAGCTCATCCTTCTGGCGCTTCCTGAAAGGTTTTTTTTCTGTTTTTCTTCTCATTTACACCCAGGCCAAGTGCACAGGGATGTAGCCCAACTAGGTGTTCCCATCCAAACCCAGTTTTACTCAAGCAAAGTTTTGTTTTTTCTCCCTCAACGAAATCTAGAAAACCCCCTCCCTGCCTGCAGACAGGCAGGACCTGGTGGCACAGCAGCTCTGTCTCCTTTAACGTGCTCCTACTTGGAGTCTTTGCTATTAGAGTTCACATTTATCAGCACTGGCTTCGCTGAAGTGCCCATACTAAAACCCTGGGCAAAGTAGCGCAGGCTCCTTGTTTAGGCTGACCAGTTAAATGTTCATTTATAGTGGGGTGAAGTGAGGTGCCTCCAGCTCAGCTACAGTTTTGGGTTCCTTGTTTTCACGATTTTTATCATCTCTAATGGCAATGGAAATGGTTCTGTGACATTTTTAAACTTACTTGAATTTAACAAATTAATAAAATCAATTTTAAGTTAATCTTAAAAAGCTAATATGAGAGAAGAGATTAACCTAAATCCTCTTCTTCAGTAGTAGCAAGCACAGCGTTACATTGGAAAGGAATGAAATGGACCAAAGTAAACATAAATAGCAATAAGAAACATCACTGGTGAAAAAAATAATAGGTTGTAAAGATCATTTAGGGTATTATAAGTACACACATGAAAATATTTATTATAATT